ATACCGTAAGGCCGAATTCGGTATTCATGAATTGAGGGCCAGGCTCTGCCAGGCTTCGAAATGTCACTTCGCATCATCGAGACGCCGCTCGTGTGCATCGCAGCGCCCGTATCGCGATGCCAGGCCTGAGTCGCTGGCCTGAAGTCCGAGATGTCCAGAGAGGGCGGCATCGCTGAGAGCACCGAATCTTGTCTGAGAAATTCATCACTCTGAAGAGATTGAAGGTCCCAGCTCTCTCGAGATAGCTTTTTCACCGACCAAAAAGCGAGGAAAGTCTGTATGGTTCTTTTCTATGAAAGTCGCTTTGTGATGATGGAGGTTGACTAGAGAGTCGTATAGATTCACACGCTCTTCGCGCACCCACGATGCGCGTCCTCGTAGCCGGCCAAAGCAGGCTTTATCGCTTTATCAGTTTCCTGCGTTCGTTTACTATGCATCCGGTTGCTTCAAACGAAGGTAATAAATGAAGACGCTGAGAACCATACTATGTAATGCATATGCTTGTTGACTCTCCAAACTCGTAGTACCCACATACCATTAATAGACTCCTGACGCGTATCGGTTCACCGTTTACAAGTAACACGATAAACCCGTTTCAATCACTCAACGACTTTCAATCACGTCAACGCCCAAACTAGTCAGGCGCTCATAAACCGCTCTGTCCATTGAGCCTTTTCGGATGATAACCCGAAGGTCAACATCTTTATCATCCGCACAAGCCTCCGCAGGGTCAGAACTTCGGACACCAGACTTGGGTGAACCGTATCCATCGAACGTAGTGGCGCTCTTAATCCCACCCTCCCGTAACTCAGCCCCTACCCGCGACTCCATCATCCCGGCGACCAAGTCATCATCAAGAGACATATGGTCGTACGAAAGATAAATGGTACGCAGGTTAGGCACTCGACGGTCCGAACCAATGCCACTAGAAGCGTCAAGAGACTGAATCAGTGCCTCGGCTACCTCTTTCCCGTCCCCATTGGACCTATACGCTGTGGACCGGAAATCAATCTCCAGCCGTTCCAACGATGTCCTTACTCTCTCGGACCGAAGGAGCGAGTCAACAGCCGGGGAAAAGGCGAGGGGGAGTGATGAAAGCCGTAAAGAGCTGATCTGACAACCAGATTTCTCGAGCAGATGAACCACGATCCGTTGGCACAATGAGGTGAACCTGACAGCGTACTCTGTGGGGAGAGAACCGTGGTGTGATGGCGGAAGGACGAGCTCAAGCGTCTGTAGGGAGGGAAGCTCGAGTTGCGTAAGGATATCACCGAGGGGGCTTATGACGCCATTGGTGTACATGATGGTAAGGGATTGGAGGAAGTCAAGTCGGAATTGAAGGATTATAGGTGACTCGGACGCTTCGAGTTGGGTTGACACCTTCGGTTTAAGGAGACGAAGTGAGTGGAGATGAGGGAAGCTACTCAGCGCACGAAGTACGAGAGATCTGTCCCAGTCGTCGAGAGTTAAGTGCTGTATCTGTGGGAATGTGGTAGGGAAGGACGAGCTTGTGCTATCGGTTAAGGGAAACAAGCAATCATTATGCAAGCTCAGGGTGTGCAGACGTGGGGAATGGGCGAGGAGTGAGTGAGGTAGGAGTAAAGATCGCACACTCAAACTTTCGAGGAGCGGAGATTTCAGCGATAAAGGAAGAATATTGAGCGGGTGTAAAACGCGTCCGAATTCGGATGTCGACGAGATAATGACTGCGAGGTCTTTCCACCTATGCGCGTGCCGAGAAAGGAGGTGGAAAAGGTCGGTACCAGGAATGGGGAGATTCGGTCGAGCATCGTCTTCCATGGAAATACTGAACCACAGATCTAGGTTCAATGCATGGTTTCCGCATCGCTCCAAAGCGAACTGGAGTGGGCTAATCACCGCGCTTTCAACCGTACTCCAGGTCTCCGGGTCCTCAGCGTCTATTTCCATCGTGATTTTTGACCACAGGGAAGGAAAAGATAAGACGTGGGCTCGCCATGACACACAGACATGACTGAGTATGAGTGGTTGCAGATTTATCGTGACTTCGTCCCCAAAATTCGCGATGTAGCTTCCGTCTCTCGTTTGAACGAGGAGAAAGATGTAGCAGAGGATTTCGGGTGGAAGTCTGTGTATCGAGGCTGTAGGAGTGAAGGAAATCATGTCCCGCTCCTGGACCTGAGTGAAAAGAACCTCTTTGGTGAGCTGTACGAGTTCATCTTCATCCGAGTCCAAATCCCAAGCAGCTACAGGCTCAGTCACTCCATCTAGAGCGTCATTGAATTTCACCGGAGTTGGAGTATAAGTGGGTACTGGCTCGGGGCCGGATGAGTTTCGAATTGGTATTGGCTTCGTCAAGGCTCCGAGGCCGTCTCGAGTTGACTTTGACAACGTAGACTCGTGGAGGTATATTTCACCCTCCGAATGTGTCGACGTCACGATGAGTCCGCCCATATTGTTTGCAGTCGTAGGCCGGTCAACTATCTCGATGTTAGATGTGAAGCGGGAAGAAATAGTGTTATGGAGAGCACTCACTGAGTAATAGAGATCGCACAACTTGAGATGTTGAGGATTTATCCTTGAGGGAAACTCTGGTTTGAAAGAGAAGCGAAGAAACGATCAGCAATCAACGGGCCAAACTCACCGCTCTTTTAAGCGAGACCTTTACGGCTTCTTACTTGGCCTCCCGCCCTGATAGGTCTGAACGAACTGGGCCAGTGTGTTGCTGTGCTCCCATCCACGGCTTTAGAATGAGATCCATCGCCCTGACCTGACGTCCATGTGTTGCATGTTATGGTCAATTGCAAGAGAGCTCACGTGGCAAACGGGAACACGTCGAAGGCGTGGGAAGGCACTTTTTTCTTCTCGCGAAGCGCAACCTTGAGCTGGAACCCTGGTCCCTGCCACCATCTTCTGTTGGGTCAATTCTTTCACCAACTCTAGTTGGGCAAAAATCAGGTACTCTCGTTCATTCAATCTGTGGAAACGGGCCTGATACGAACTCTTGACCACTGGTCAAACGGCCAGGTGTGTCAAGCTGAGGTAACGTTCAACGTCGAGTTCGACGTACCATCAACTTCTTTGAAGGCCCTTCACGCTGGTTATTCGATGCGTATCTTTTTATAAGCTGAACCAGGGTTTATTTGGCAACTTTGGGCTTTTTATAGCTCAGAGGCTCAATACGTCAGTGGATATCACTTCATTGAAGTCGCCCCTTTCTCACAGATCTTCGTATCGACTTCCTTCTATGGTGCGCAATATCCACTCCTAGCTCCGTTCATCTCCTCCCGACAGCAGAGATTAACACCAATGACCGCCGTCTGTCTTATTCAGATTGGTTTTCTGATTCCGAACTGGTGGCGGATATCAACCTTCGAAAAGCTTGCCTTTAGGGACTTCTGGGACTGCGCTCTCCCCCGAGTATCTCGCCCGACTCTCGATGTGGACCACCACCTTCGTTGTGCTTTTTCACTAGGATCCTCTCGGTTCGGATAATCCTCTGTCGGCGTTAACGCTAAAATATGCGTCTCGGCCCTTTTTCCGAGTCTCGCTTCACGATCTACAATGCAGTTTACTTGTCTTGGGCTCGAGGCTCGGTCAACAAATGGGTTTCTCGGTGAGGTCTAGTGCATGGGGGATTCGCAATCGGTGACATTTACCCCTACAGAAACTCAACAAACAGTGAAGCCAGCGCTGGGCAGGCCCTTTGCCGCTTCATGTGGTGAAGACCAAGTAACTTAGCAGGTACAGATGGACTCTAGAGCGGTGGGCCTCATGAATCCAGGCTCTCATATTTTTTCCCCATGTGAGCGTTCTCACTGCCGTTTGCCCCCGCTCGCATGTCGCATAGGCACGCAGGCACATACCATTCATATTCCTCATTCAATGTTCGCGCGTGAACAGTCTGGTTTCCAGATCGGAATAGGTCTTCATCAAGCTACCGGAGCAGCTACTTGAGCATAGCGGTAACTTGTGACCATTTCCCAGACATTGGCATAAGTCAGATGGCTCTCCAATACACGCTCTGGCAACATCACTCTTCCCAGAGCATGAAACGTTGTTAGTATTTCTATTGATTGGATTCGATATTCATTACTCACGCCGTCTGGTTTAACTTACTTTCGCAATGCTCACGACTAGAAGACTGCTCGACTCGATCTCTTTTACCGTACCTGGGATCTCATCCGTATCTACAACCCGCCATCTATACTCGGAACTTGATCTGAATACGACGGGAATCGCATCTTCTTGAAGTACTCGCGGTGAAAAGTTCCCGCACACGTCTATCCGTGGTGCTTCGTAAATTGACGCCACATTCCATAATCAGAGCGACACTCTGTTGAACCGTTCATAGTGTTGTTACCCTTTTCAGTGTGGCTCTATGCCGTGGAAGTTGAAACTAAGTAGAAGCCTTCACCGTACAGATTAAGTATATCAATACCGTGCGAAGGTGCTACAGTCATGTACCGGTCAATGGGACAGGATCACTCAATGGGACAGACGTGTTTCCTGCAACACATACGACACGCACCCACCTCAGAAATTTATTTTAGATGCTTTTTCATGTTCTCAACCCAATACAGCGAAGTTTAATGTGATTCGCGTGCTAGAAAAAATTCAAAGAAATGATAACTGTGATTTTCAGCAATGTTTTGAGTGTAAAGATGGGAATTCCTCTCCTACAGACTTATAACGCACACAATATACTTTTATGGCAATATGGAGCAGATCTTTGGCCCTGTTTAGTGCATCCGTATCGCGCAAACCTTTGTCTCAAAGAGTGACTGTTTCCTCGCTCAATTATTGGCGCGTTGATGGGAAATTCCCACGCGCCAAAATCTGTCCCAAATTCCCGAATTTCGTTGACAACGATGGGACACCCGTTCACCAACACTTGGCAGCATAAAATTGCTTTGGAATGATATATTTGAAGTGTTTTGATGTCCTGAAACACGCGGAATAGCAGGTATATTCGTGTTGTCCCAGTTATGAAATCTTGTCCCATTGACCGGTACATGACTGTATAGTGTAGTGGTTATCACTCGGGATTTTGATTCGTTAATACGCGCTCACTCGCCAATTTCCCGAAACCCAGGTTCGAACCCTGGTAGCACCGCTGGGACATCTGGGACATCTGGGAAGGATGATGTGGATCCCCATAATTTTTCTTCGTTAATTTTTCAAGTTCGAATACATATTAGAATAGCTGCTCTGTTGATGTTTCACGTCCCGACTCCCGGATGAGGAAGCTTCCGAGGCTGCCCTTAGCACCCTGGTCCCCGGGCCTGAGCGCTGAGCCCCAGTGAAAATGAACATAAATTCAGGGTCTTTCAGGGCTATTGTCTGATATTGCCGGGTATTAAAATGTGATATGACGCAATTTTGGAATATTCCTAGCTATTCTCCCATATTCCTGGACACAATTGTTCCCAACAACGGCATATTTGAGTATTCCTAGCTATTCTCCGGTATACCAGGACAGGATTGTTCCCCGACAACGGCATTCTTTGTATGAGCAATACAAACAAGGCTCGAGGTGACTCAGGGTGGGTCTGAGGCAAGCTCGCAGTTGTATTGAACCCAATGTACCCACCTACCCACTCATGAGATATTGTCTGATATCCTCCAGAGGCCATCCTAACTTAGCTAGAATTAGCTAGAATGTGCTAATAGATTGTACTCGCGGCTTGCCTTGACACTATCCTGGGTGACGGTACAGTTAGTCTACCATTATAGAGCTGAGATGAGGCACAGTGATATTGAGAAGAAAATTAATTCTACTATCAGTGGTGATTGTCATTGTTGTCGTTGTTGTTGTCAAAACTCTGGTCGTCACCGGCGCTAAAAATCACCCATGGGTGAATATAGGCGCCGGTGAACGGCTCTGGCCGCG